GACAAAGGGAGGAAAAGGGGGGACATCTGAAATAGTGCAAAAAAAAAAAAAAAAGAAAAGAAAAAGAAAAAAAATAACTTCTGCTCAGACGCGAGAAATGGCCAAGGATAAATAATCTAAAAAAAAAAAATACTTGAAGTGGTTGAATCAGGGAGAAGGAAATATATTTCTAAGTATATTTCTTTAAATCTCCCTCTAAATACTCCTATTAGCATAGGACTATTGCCCTTGTCCTCATCATCAACAAAGAAGACTGCATTCACTGCCTGCTCACTCTGCGGAGACATTGTGCTAAACCCTTTATACTCCTTCTTACTCCATTGGCACAATAATGCCACAAGGTAGGTATTATTATATATATTTTTTCCGCATTGCAGATGGGAAGAAAACGTCTTAGAGAACTTAGGTAACTTACACATTTTCACACAACTATTAAGTGACAGAGCTGCGAGGTGATCTGGGTGAAACCAGGGGTTAAGGTTTCATTTTAGTGAGTTCCATTTTCCATACAAAAGAAAGAAAGCATTCCCAGACCAGGAATGTTTGCCTTTCTTGATTCACAGTGGTGTGGATTGCACAGACCATGGTCACCCCCATCATTACCTTGTAATTAAACTGTAAGCCCAGAGTCTCTGGAAAAATTGACCTTGAGAGTCCAAATTGAAAAATAATGGTCATAGATATATATTGGCTATTATACAATGACAAGGAAAGCTTTTTTAAAAGGCAGTAATGGAAAATACATTTTTATTTATTTACTTTTAACTGGTGAAGTAATGACCCCGGCAATAAGGAAAATCATGCCATTTCTCAATGAAGCATCTCAGAAAAATGGTTATGTGGAAGAGACTGAACTCTCTAGTCTTATTTTTAAATTAAAATTTTAATTTTATGGCTGTTTTTCATGGAGAATCATTTTTTTCTCCAAGAGCTGGAGGAAACCTCACTTTTCGTTACCATAAGTTATTTGATAAATGGTTATTTGACATTGTTTGGGGGATGACCGATGCTGCTGTTAAATCCTAAGAGTTGAAAGGACATGCATTCCAGTTCCATCTCTAGGACACTGATTAAATGTTTTAAAGTAAGTCACTGGACCTCTCAAAATCCTGTCTCTAAATGAGAGGCAGCAGGGCTTACATTTTTTCTTCAGGGATGGAAGAAGTATAAAACATCAGTAGCTGCTGAAAGACTTAGTTTGTCCATATTTTAAATTTTAACTTAATTTTGCTTAATTTTATTTATTTTAGAAATAATTAATCTAAACACCAGTAGGTTGATTAAAATGGGAGGAACTGACCATTTTTTTTTTATTGTAGAGGAAAGTCCCTTTCAAATAAGAACAAAAATAAACCGTGGGTTCCCATGCTACTCAATACTTAAGGAAATTTCTTACAGTCTTTTTATTGAAAAGCTCCAGTACAAGAGAAAGAAGTTATCAGAATCTTAATAACCAGAGATAAAATTATAATTTAAAGTAGGAAATTTATGAACGAAATAAACTGTAATTCAGAATTACTAAGACAGTTATATCTTAGCCTATATCATTTACATTTTAAAGGTTTTGAATTTTCTAAATTTTCCATATTTGTATAATTATTTCTATCACTAGAAAAAGGTAATTAATAAACAAAAGATAGACTTAAAGAGTAGAAAACATTTAAAGAAATAATCAGCTTATTTTCTAATTTTATTATTATTTTCTTTTGGGGAGATGGGGCATCCAAAGAGCTTTAGTATGTCACATGACTAAGTAAAATGTGAGTGTAAAGGAGTTGCACTGATGTTTTCAGTCCAGAACACTTAATAGAAACCAGAGAACCCAATAAATTACCTTAAAAATGGTTACTAGCTAGTTAATAGTATATTCTATTGGGTGGGAAGGGGGAGGTGAGGGGAAATGAGATAAAGTCTTAAAAGAGATAGCCTGAAAAGTATGTTTGATGCCAGATTGCTCTAAAGTCCCTTTTCCTTACTACCAATGGATGCTGGAGCACTTCACAAACTTAGATTTCAATTTCTGACACAGACAACAGTGTGGTGATGGCCTGAGGGGAGCAGGAGTGGGGACTGGGTGAAGGGGGACAAAGGGAGGAAAAGTGGGGACATCTGAAATAGTGCCAACAAAAAAAAAAAAAGAAAAGAAAAAGAAAAAAAATAACTTCTGCTCAGACGCGAGAAATGGCCAAGGATAAATAATCTAAAAAAAAAAAATACTTGAAGTGGTTGAATCAGGGAGAAGGAAATATATTTCTAAGTATATTTCTTTAAATCTCCCTCTAAATACTCCTATTAGCATAGGACTATTGCCCTTGTCCTCATCATCAACAAAGAAGACTGCATTCACTGCCTGCTCACTCTGCCGAGACATTGTGCTAAACCCTTTATACTCCTTCTTACTCCATTGGCACAATAATGCCACAAGGTAGGTATTATTATATATATTTTTTCCGCATTGCAGATGGGAAGAAAACGTCTTAGAGAACTTAGGTAACTTACACATTTTCACACAACTATTAAGTGACAGAGCTGCGAGGTGATCTGGGTGAAACCAGGGGTTAAGGTTTCATTTTAGTGAGTTCCATTTTCCATACAAAAGAAAGAAAGCATTCCAAGACCAGGAATGTTTGCCTTTCTTCATTCACAGTGGTGTGGATTGCACAGACCATGGTCACCCCCATCATTACCTTGTAATTAAACTGTAAGCCCAGAGTCTCTGGAAAAATTGACCTTGAGAGTCCAAATTGAAAAATAATGGTCATAGATATATATTGGCTATTATACAATGACAAGGAAAGCTTTTTTAAAAGGCAGTAATGGAAAATACATTTTTATTTATTTACTTTTAACTGGTGAAGTAATGACCCCGGCAATAAGGAAAATCATGCCATTTCTCAATGAAGCATCTCAGAAAAATGGTTATGTGGAAGAGACTGAACTCTCTAGTCTTATTTTTAAATTAAAATTTTAATTTTATGGCTGTTTTTCATGGAGAATCATTTTTTTCTCCAAGAGCTGGAGGAAACCTCACTTTTCGTTACCATAAGTTATTTGATAAATGGTTATTTGACATTGTTTGGGGGATGACCGATGCTGCTGTTAAATCCTAAGAGTTGAAAGGACATGCATTCCAGTTCCATCTCTAGGACACTGATTAAATGTTTTAAAGTAAGTCACTGGACCTCTCAAAATCCTGTCTCTAAATGAGAGGCAGCAGGGCTTACATTTTTTCTTCAGGGATGGAAGAAGTATAAAACATCAGTAGCTGCTCTTAAGGAAATTTCTTACAGTCTTTTTATTGAAAAGCTCCAGTACAAGAGAAAGAAGTTATCAGAATCTTAATAACCAGAGATAAAATTATAATTTAAAGTAGGAAATTTATGAACGAAATAAACTGTAATTCAGAATTACTAAGACAGTTATATCTTAGCCTATATCATTTACATTTTAAAGGTTTTGAATTTTCTAAATTTTCCATATTTGTATAATTATTTCTATCACTAGAAAAAGGTAATTAATAAACAAAAGATAGACTTAAAGAGTAGAAAACAGATTTAAAGAAATAATCAGCTTATTTTCTAATTTTATTATTATTTTCTTTTGGGGAGATGGGGCATCCAAAGAGCTTTAGTATGTCACATGACTAAGTAAAATGTGAGTGTAAAGGAGTTGCACTGATGTTTTCAGTCCAGAACACTTAATAGAAACCAGAGTAGAGAAATGGAGACACCACTGGCTTCATCTTTGGTTGGGGCTTGGATATAGAAGTAGCAGCAGCTATAAACCTCTTGCCAAGTGTACTGAGCAATTGAGGGCTGGGGAATATTGACTTGATCTTAGAACTTGACTGAACCAAATGCCAAATTCTAATTTGAAGATGAAAAACTGGATGTCTGAGAAATGGAGCGATTTGGTGACGCAAACAATAGACTCCCAGGTTAAAAATTCCACTCTCGGCCCTTCTATTGAGCTCTAGAGTTAGTCATTTGTTCAGTGGGTTCTTAATATGTTTTATAACTTAGAAAGCCAGAGAATCAAAGCAATTGTCTAAAAATGCACACCAAACTCACCTTTGCGGTAATTACCTCCACAATTAAGCAGATTGGTGCAACAGCTTTTTCCATTATTTGGTTCAACACTGATCTAACTCATAGGGTCACGTGGTGAAAAAGCAACTCAAAAACTATTCCACAAAAAGAAAGGTGATTTCTTTCTAAACTAATTCCAATAAACCCCAAATACGAAAGTTTCCGTGTTTCTGCTTGCTTATGAAATTTGCCTACCTTCCAAGCTGGTCCCCAAGCCACCCACCGAAGAATGATGCAATCATTCCACCAATTGCAAAGCTGGACACAGACAGGGACCATAGCATGGTGATGAGGCCAGAATCTTCCACAAACTCTTCCTCAGGCGGAGGGGTTGGCGTTGAATTCATTAGGTTGGGGGTTCTGGGCATTTCCTCTGTACTGGCGATAGCATCGCTGCTGAGAGCTTTTCGGTCAGCCAGCGGGACATCCAAAACATGTCTATAATGGGTAATTATTATCTGAGAAAACAAAAACATTTCAAACAATCTATATATCTTTATTCATTGTTTTTCTTTAGAGTATTTGTTAGGTATTTAAACAGGATCATTCCAATTATGTGCATTACACACATACAAACACATGTAGATTTATTTATAGTTGACCATCATAATAAGAAAAGGCCAAGAGGCGTCACAACCAAATGACCAGTAGCCATGAGGTGGCATTGACCACTTCTCCGTCCCTCCCCGCCAACCTGCGAGCGGGGAGCGGAGTGGGACCGGCAA